ATATAGTTAGGAAACTTTTACCTTTAATAAGTCTAGCTTATTTTTTAATTACATTGGATCAATGTATTTTAATGACGTTGGGTTTGTTAGCTCGTTTTATACATGTACATCAGTCTAGGGTGTAATTTTATTCAATTCAATATTTAGGTAAAGAAAATTTTACAAATAATATCAATTTTACAATTATTTTTTTAATTAATAATAATACGTTGCTTTTTATAAAAGCTTTTTTACAACAAGTAATTCAACAAGCTAGTAACAGTTGCCTATCGAAAAAAAGTTATTTAATATTTATACGTTTCCTGGCGAAACAGATTCGTTTCATTACGATGATATTTGTTCATTTGCCGTGGGAATATTAAAAACAGGTTTGTAAAATAATATGTTATAAATAAAAGTGTTTTTCTATATTTGACTTTATAGTGTATAACTGTCACACGGTTTCCTCCGACTGACCTGGTACACCCTCGTTCCCTGAGAATCCATGGAAATGATCTTGCCACCGCATACCACCTTGCCTTAGGACGTGGGTGTACCGTCAAAACGCAGGGGTGGGGCTATGCTTTTTTAGGCTGCTTTTTTCGTAAAAGACTCTAGCTAAACCCCTCTCCCCCGCTCTTTGACCAGTCCCATTCCCCTCTTTTTTTAAATTGTTATAGATTTTTATTTTTTTTTTTTTTTGGGGGGGGGGGGGAGGGGGGGACTTTACAGCAACAACAATAACAAAAACCACAGGGCGCAGAGGAGTTATCTGTGACCTTGATTATTTATTGTAGTTTATTTTTACAGTTGACACCTCGCATTGCCTTCGTTTTTATAGTGTAGAATCGAGCAAACCTTCATTTGATCGTCTTACAAACCTAGCAAAATATTATCCAATGCACTGGAAAACCGCTGAAGGTAATGACTTGGCCATTTTCCTCAGCTGATATCAAAACAGCATTCTTTTTTTTCACTTTCAGAGAGAATTTGAAAATTGACTTCCTTTCAACTGACTTTCTGAGGCCAATTTTTTAGCGCTGAATGTTTGCTTTCGTACGATGTGGACCGGAGGATACTAGTGAGGGAAATACGTCACCAGTTTTGGAAATGCAGAGAATGTGAGAGGGGTCGAAATATTAAGACACAGGACTGCCCTTCTATGTAAAACTGTATTATGTATGAGGCAAAACCACGTTTCCTTCAAAAGAAGACAAAAAAATACACTTTGGCGGTTCTTTGTCAGGAACAAAATGTTATCCGTATAAATCTCGGCCCAGGAACCTATCAGCTATTTCTCCTACCAGGAATATATGTAGCGTGCATGTACGCACATACGCCTATGCATACAGCCGAAATCTGGAAAATAATATTATATAGATTTCTTTCATTTCCTGAAAGCATTTTTATAATTAAATTGGGATAAGTATTTCGCATTATGTTGGTGTTTTTGTGTTAGGATTTGCCAAGAGAGAATGAGATCCTTTTACTGATTAAGTGGGGTGAAATGGATCCGAATGTGAAGCCACAGACCTTGGTTGAGACTTTTGACCAAGCCAACTCTAATTCTATCCGGGAGTATATGTCAGGGCTCTCATAACTTTGTTGACTTATCCTGTATCAACATGCAGAGCTGAGCGTGGCGTCAGCGATATGAAGAGACTGCAAACTTCTTTACGAAGCACCATGACAGACGAGAGATTGAGCTCTCTTTCAATACTGCACATTCACAAGCACAAGGACGTAATTCATATCGATGGCATTATAACAGAGTTTGCTTGTCTGAAGGGTACACATCCCGCCTATTTCTGGTCACCTCCTTGATGGCGTCACTGTTTTCCCTTTTTTGCCGTAAACACTGTAGTACCTTACCGATAACTATACAGATGGGTAAAATAAACAACTAATTACTGCATTTTTATTCGTCTTGATTTACTTAGAATGTCCTGCAGAAAACGCAGAAGATGGCATTTCCGAGATCCTAAGTTAAACATTTTTCTGGGGGAGCATTCCACCAGACTCCTCTAGGCTAGAAATAAGCGTTGACAGGCCAAACACGACTCATAAGCTCGTGATAATGTGACCTTGAGAGTCTGCTTGAACAGTGGTTCTCTTTCTTTTTTCTCTCGCGCGAAGGTTACTAGCACTACACAGTGCAAGAGGTGTAGCATTCTAAACTTTGACTGAGTAAATCTTGTTTTTGCCGCACTAAATCTTATATTTAGAGGTCATGAAGCAGGTTTGTTACATGCATACTGAGTAATCATTTCCTGTAGTTTATGCTTCGGTAGGTGTCCCTGATAGGATTTGATTTCAGATGCAGTTGTAAAGTGTTTTATATCCTTTGACCTCTTTTTTTACGGCTGAATAAAGATTTTAGTTTTTTTGGTTTTCTCCGAAATGACTGTATCTGAATAACTACATGCTTGCATGCAAGTTTCTTTGTCCGTGAATGTGATTATTTCCTGCCATGTCAGTATGACTCTACGCTGCTGACTACCGGTATCTTATAGCTTACGAAATCAATGCCCAAGGATGGAAGAGGAGACTTGGTCTAGAAGGATTTGGGAGGCGGGGAGCATTTTAAAAAATGTTTACACCAAAGACACGGTTTTGAGTGTCAACACAATATTAAACAATTTAACTGTTATTGTTCAGAATAAACTGACCGAACACCATTGTGTGCCCACGTCGCATTTTGAAGTCAATATAATTGCTTATTCAGTTAAGACGTTTAAACGTCCACAAAAAGCCAGCAAAGCTTATCACTCTGTAACAGCTGACCAAACACCTGCTAGTGTGCAGAAGTCAACGCTAACTGTGCCTTCAGATGGTCAGAAGATTAAAGGCAATCGAAATTGCGCCATTTACTGAAAAAAGCAATTTCACTTGCACTAAATAATTATATTCAATGACGCGAATGACCATGACATTGATTTTCAGTGTGACCATCTTCACACTCGCACCAAAACAAAATAAATATTAAAAAAGTGATATTTAGAGTGTATAAAAACTGCAACTTTGCTTCTCTACTGCTCTATCTTTTTATCACAGTCTTTGAACAGTTTTTGCTGTGAGCTATTGAAGAACTGTCTTTTAATTTTGCACAGAACCGTGACAAGGAAGTTATTATATTCATAAAGTCTTGAAATAGAAAACGCTAAAACCTTACTGCAAATTGTATCTAGTTCTCGTAAGCAAACGCAAAATTCACAGAAACAATTCGTTTAAAACTTAATTCTCTAATTTGGTCATTCCGAAAGGGGCAGTGGAATATATAAAGAATTGCTAACTAAGATTAACAAAATACTTTAACGGAATTTTTACTATGCAAATCACAGTAAGAGATTCTATTGTTGACAATCAGGAGTCAATTTTAGTAAATTACTCGTAGAGAAAATAAATTGAAATGTATTAGAAAGACAACAAAATTTTGCAAAATCGACAAAACGAATAAGCATTGTTACTTAATAAGGAAGGGTAACGTTGCTAAGTAAACATTTATACAAAATTCCCTGCTGGGGAACAAAATATTTTGTTAGGCTATTCAAGCCCAACATATTATCTATCCTGTCTGCGTAAGCCAAATATGAGTATTTAAAATTCATCATCCTGGATCAAATGCAATCACTTTAGCAAAATTGAAAAATATATATAGTGAGAAATATAATTATATTTTTTCATGCTAATTTTCTAACATCCGCTGCTTAAGAAGCGAACCTATTGCCCAATTCTTTAAGTACCTGAGAATTTAATTTCAGACTATTGCAGCACTAATTCATATTTTTTTTCCGTGTTGTTTGAACCGTTTAAAATCTTTATTTTGTTAAAGAGGCTCAAGGAGGAAAATTGCTTTTGTTTTATCGTTTAAGCAAAGTTTGAGGAGGCGTTTGATGTTGTATAAGAATATAACTCGAATGTATGGCATTAAAAGAAGTAAGAGTGTTCTCTGTACAAATTTGGTAAATCAGCGCGTATTTTACTCGTGTTGCATCAGTTAATAGCGGTTAAAACCGTTCCCGCCATATGTTCCTCTTAGCGGAACTGACTCATGCGGGACATACATATATACATCCGTACTGAAGGAAAAAGTACCTATTTACGAAAAAGTTAGAAACATTACGAATAGGATTTCCTATCCATTCGAGATGGTGACTTGAATAAAAAGGGCAGTCGCGAAATTTCAAAGTTCACTTGAATCTGAGGCGATCTTCTTCATAGAGAGAACAGGAGTGTCAAATTACAGAAACAGATATCAGTATCATGCTAGGTAAGAGACAAGTTGGTTTACTTATTACAATCTGTTCTTAGGACTTTGCTGATAATATATATCATCAATCTAGAATATTATTAATTTTTACGTGGCTGATTTTGACTGTTTCGGACAACTGTACTGCTGAAAACCGAATAATGACACTTAATCTAATTTTTTACTGTGCTTGAGTGACGCCGTGCTGCTCAGAAATGTGAGCCTATTACGTATACGCTCCACGGGTAATTTGCTTTTAAATGAAAGAATCGCCTACAATTTTAGAGATCAAGAAAATTTAAGAACGCAGTTATGCTGACTAGCAAAAAAATTGTTATCTACGAGGCTTAGAAAACAAATTAATTAACCTCTCTCCTACGAAAAAAAAAAAAAAAAAAAAAAATAATAATAATACTTAGAAGTGTTAACCATGGCCAACAGAAAATATTATGACAATCTTTACTTGAAAATATTTACTTGCGAACCTTTGGACGAATTGACTTAAAGAAATAGAAAGTTTTACCAAGGGACTAGAGGCAAACACTGAAACACTTGAATTTGCACATAGAGCGCGGTTTTTTGTTTAACCTGTTTCTTGCGCCTTAGGGCAGGTGTTTGTAAACGGGACTCACTTCCTTCTCTAGTAGTTTTTTTTTTCACGATATTTGACCTTGGAAAGTCACAAATGCTTACTCTTTGACATTTTAAAAGAAAATTAACAATGTGATTCACAGATCTATTTACAGTTCATAATGTATTTCTTCCTTTTTCAGTTTCGGCTTTGCTGGTTTTACTCCTTCCACGGTTTTCCCTTGAAGCTCCTGTGAACAAGCGGGAAGTGTCTGCGAGAACAAAAGATGTTTTACGATCAATGTATAATTTCTGCCACTCGAAAAATTTAATGGATTTGACTCGGAAGACAAAAGAGGCCTATGTAAGTGTCCAAAAAAATCTCTTTAAACTTTGCATTTGTTTACAGGCATTTACCATTACATAATCGACCTTAAAGCGATAAATTTTACCAAACAGGATTCATCCACCGGTGTAATGTAATATTGATGTTAGAGTCGACCACATAAATGATGTCAAAATGTCGAAGTTTAATAACTCAAGTGGAACCACGAGTAGCAGGCGAGTTGTCACACGGCAAAGTTTTGAACATTTTGTATTCCTAGACATTTTTTTCTCCGAACAGATCGTTTTAAAGACCATGTGATCTAAGGAAACGACAGGATCTGGGAGCGAGTAGTCTAAGGTCTATGTCGTATTTCCTTATCCGGAACCTGACCCAACTTACCAACCAATGAGCTAAATTCTCGTTCAAGAACGCGCGTTGAGTTTAGGCTGCGGTCTTACTGACGTCGAACGCAACAAGCAAACATAAAAACAAAATTCAAACGAAAACAATAGTTAATGAAATATTTAACATTTTGTTTCATTCATGTTCTCGTTTAGGCGAAAGAACACTTTGGGGACCCTTTGGAGTCCAGACAGGTTGACATCAATGGAATTGAACCACTGAGCAACTCTACGGAATGGACAGTAAGTTTCTTTTAGTGATCTAGTTGTTTTCAATTATAATGTTTTTTAGTTGAAAATATATTCCTCCTCATTTAATTTGTCACCGTACTTTTATAATGAGGTGACTCCTGATTCAGTGGGTGTATAAGGAATTATCGGAGTTATTAGCTCTAAGGCCCGGTTCAGATGCCGCACTTTTTATGAGCCGAACCTTATTCGAATTGAGGATTAGACCGGCTAAATTGATTCAGATGCCGATCTTAATTCCCGCCGAACTAAATTCCGAAGGCGAAAAACGCGCATTTCAGTCAAACTGCTTACACAATACGTTATAAGAATTGATGCATTAGGTTCGGTACATGAAAAGTTCGGCGTCTGAATCAAAGACGTTCCAAAGTCGATCCAAAGGCGAAATTTCCGGCCGGGCTAGGCGAAAAGAGCGGCTGAGCCTTTCCAAATTGAAACAGGCGTTCCTAATTGATTCAGACGCCGAACTTTTCATGTACTGAATTCAATGTTCGGCTCATGAAAAGTACGGTGCCTGAACCGGACTTAAGAGGAAATACCGACCTCCCAAGTTTGAGCATGTACCTCAACGTTAGCATTAACACAGTATTTGTTAAAAAAAGGTCACCATTAAGATGAAGTTGCCGTTTGTCATAAAATTTAAAAACTATTGACGTTGGATTTTTTAAAGCAACGTAATTGCCTACCGCCCCATAATAGTATAATTTGAAAAAATTATAGGGACCCTGTCTGTATTAAGAGCTCAAGGGAATAGCTCAGTTTAGCCGATATCGAAACGCAAAAGGTCCTTGCCTTTTGAATTTTACCCTGGCACTAAGTACGGCATACAGTCTATTAAGTCCTTTTGAGTCCATCTTCTGAATTGCTCTCAAAAAATGTGTTCCTTATTACTTTCAGGTACAGCTGTTTGTTTCAAAAGCATTCAAACAACTCTCCATATTTCACGCGATCTTCAAAAACCTTTTGGGCCACTTGAATCAGATTAACGAGAAGCACAAGATCGTGAATAAGACCGAGGCTATGAATGAAAAGGTGAAAGAGCTGAAACGGCTGGCAAGAATCGCTGCGGTAAGTGATGCATTTACAATCATTTTAGCTTAATTTGACTGTTTGTCATTATTTATATGTTTCAAATTCGCTCAGTCTCTGACTTGTCCCCCGTTTACTCTTTGTCCTTGTATCCTTCCAATCTTCCTCCGCACGCATTTTTATCTCGCTTCTCTTGTACGTAAATAAGGACCTTTAGATTCTAAGACGAAGACGACTACGAGTACGAGGTTTTCTCAATACTGAGTAGTGCTTGCGCATGAATCAGTGTCATCTTGGCGGGAAAACACGGTGGCCTTTCTACTACGGTTTTAGCCAGAATGTCGTGATTGCAAACACTATAATTTTTATCATTTTACGATGAAAAAAGGGCTTAGTCCTGCTTTAATACAGATTACCGTGCTAATTTTTCTGGTGAATAACAGTACAATGAGGCCTTCCGGGATATCTATTTTTTTTGAGAATACGTAAACTTTTTTAGGCTAAATCTCGTCCTCCAATCTAAAGGTGTCCAATAGAGCTAATCCTTATTAGAAGCGGAATTGCACCCAAAAACCCACTGCGACTACCCCGTTAATACAAACACCACCTGTTATTTAGTATCTCTAGTCGATAACTTTCCCACATGTTTTGCCTAATTGATACGACAGACGGCAAATGACTGCTGGGAAAACCGAAATAATCCATTCATTATGTAGTAAAACCCTTTATTGATCGTTATGATTATTTCTTTAGATTTTCGAGTTTGGTAAATCCATGGCCCATAGCAACTCTTTATCGGTAGCTACCTCATTAACGCAACAAACAGCTGTTTGGACCAAGTCTGCCTTTCGACAAGAAACCTGGATACTTGGAGTTTTAAGAGAGTTTGATATCTGCTTACGCTATCTGCAGCCGGCGTTTTTGGAGTTTTCAAACCGATAAAGGAAGACATACGAGGAGTATTGAAATGGTCATGTCACTTTGAATCTAAGGGTTCTTATTACATACTTCCGTTTGCCTGCAACAGGCTATCATTTTATACATAGTCTGGAATGAGAGTTAAAATTTTAGTTTATACGGTTTTTCGAAAATGTGACGCACGTCGCTTATTTATTCAGTTAGTCACAGATCAGGTTATAATAATATATCTAGGAAAATTTTACCTTTAATAAGTTTAGGTTAGTAATTTATTACATTGCATCAATGTATTTTAATGACGTAGGGTTTGTTAGCTCGTTTTATACATGTACATCAGTCTAGGGTGTTGTTCTATTCAATTCGATAATTAGGTAAAGAAAATAATGTTACAAATTATTTCAATTTTACAATTATTTTTTAAAATAATGATATTAATAATAATAATAATAATAATAATAATAATCAATAATAATAATTCTTTGCTTTTTATAAAAGCTTTTTTATGCAACAAGTAAAACAACAAGCTCGTAACTGTTGCCTATCAAAAAATGTTATTTAATATTTTATACGTTTCCTGGCGAAACCGATTCGTTTCAATACGGTGATATTTAAACACTTACAGTGGAAATATTTAAAACAGATTTGTCAAATAATACTGAGTAATAAACGAAAATATTTTTTCTATATTTGACTTTATTTTGTATAACATTCACAAGAAATGCTTGGGCTATGCTATTTTAGGCTATTACCTTTCTAAAAGGCTCTAGCTAGCTGAGCCCCTTCCCTCATAAGCTTTGACCAGTCCCTCTCCCCTCTTTTTTTTTTTGGACATTTACAATAACAGCAACAAAAAAAGTAAGCAAATGAAGCTTCAAATTCATACCAGAAAATATGTTCAGTTATCACATGTAAATCGTATGTAGTGAGCCTTTTTATTCATGGATTTTGTTGCATCTGTTTTCTCTCTTTTACGTGTTCTTCAGTGAAAATTGATTATACTGGAGGATAGAAAATTGACACAGAAGTGATGAACGAATGCAAATTTTCAAGTACAATTCGCTCGAGTCGTCAACATATATTAACATGATTGATTCGGATAGCTGTGCTATCTTAGATACTGAAGTGTAATCCCGTTTCAATCTCCAATCTTATACTTCACTGATTGCAACGAAGAAGACGGTGAAGAACCCGTTTGCGCACCACACAAGCGACAATTATTTTCGTCGTTTCTTTTGGTCACGTGGTCTGTGGTTCTTTTCATGTGTCTTATTCCTCGTGCCAGCGTAAGTTTCATAGAAACCAGTTGCGAAAAATCGTTTTCAGTTGCTTGTACAGCTTCTATTTTGCGTACCAAGTTGTTACATGATGTCCTCTGAGCCGATATAGACTTCAGAGATGTTATTTATTCAATACAATTAATTCGGCCAAAAGTCAACTTGGATGTCTTTGCCATTGGATATCCCTGGCTCAACCAGTCGTCAGAATACAAGGTAGACTAAGTCTGCTGCCTCTTCGTCTTCGAACAACTATAAAACATGGGGAGAAAACAAAAGGCTGTGTTAAAATAATATTGAAAACGTTAAATTACCCATTTAGAGTGGTAATCCGGGTCTTAAATGTATGCGGTCAGTCTTGATATGCTTAATAATTTCAGTGGCAAAGAATTTAGAGTAGAACGCGCTATAACGTCTTGCACGCCAATGTTTGACCTTGTTACCAACAAATATATTGCACGGTCGCGTTCATCAAGCCACTTTAGTCTTCTGATAAATACTTTAACGTTTGGTCATTCAAGGAGCTTTGATTAGTTAACCCCGATATAGCTAAGGGTTAACCCTTAGACTGGAAAAGTAGTTCAATCGTTACTTATAACAAGCATAAGTGTATCACTGTCCTGTTCCATTCATTTAGTCATCGAGACCAAGAATTTCATCTTTTTTTAAAAAAATAGTCTCCAGTTCGCTATACGCCGCACAGTGTGCTCCGATGTGTTACGGACCCATGCACCGACAATGGAACCATTCAGGCAAGAATCATCGAGCGTCATTTCCTGTGTTGCTCTTTGTTATGCATTATTACTTGCTGATTTTGATATCACTGTGGGCGTCCTGAGGCGTGAGGGCAATATTTAACTCCAATGATCATAAAGGGCCAGGGGCTCGTTTCTCTAAAGTCCCGATAACTTTTCGGGTCCGAAATCAAATATTCAAATCGAAATGAAAAGAATAAGAGTGCGGGTCCTGGCTTGCAAAATACTCCAAAATGTTTCATTAAATCCTGTTGAGACTTTTATCTCGCATGTAAACAACAACAGCTTTACGGGCCCGTTGAAACGGGCCCCTAGCCCGAAATAATTGGAAAGGAACTTAAACCACAAAACGGCACTTTTGTTCATTAGAACATTTTTTTTATCTGAAACGTTCCCTTACTTACTTTCTAAAGTGCCACGCAGCTTATCGGAAACTTTTTCCGTGATTTGTTTGAATATTTAACCCACACAAGATCATACAAAAATGCTGTTTGTGAGGAGAACAAGAAGCGGAAAGAAGAAGGGCAAACTTAAAGCAATGGATACTGGCACATACATCAGCCCACGGCCTGGCCAGTACCTCATGCTTGAGCATAGCCATATCACTGCACGGGAAGAGAGAACAAAGCAAATTAAAAAAAAAAAGCGTTCAATGTCATCGGCGGGCTGTTTTTCTTTAAGCTGTATCTTTTAAAGGTCAAATAACATTGAAACCACACCTAGGTTAGCTTCCTTTATTGCTTTAATCAGGAGCCTTATCCCGTCCTTTTTTGCTGCCCCCACCTACAAAGGCGAGTCACCAACCAGCGTTTTCTTGCCTTGAATTTGGGTATAAAAGTCGTGCGGCCAATCTTACATAAACTTTAAGGCAGCCTGCAGTAGTACGTGTCAGTATACTTTCATTGACGTCTTCCTACATGTTCTAAAAGTACGTTTGAATGGACACAAGAGACCGTTACGATTGTCAACTCATGATTCTATCATGTTCTATAGCACGCTCAGTAATTCAAAATATCAAGATTCCACACAGCCTTGAGGTAGCAGGAGGTAGCAGTTATTAAATGAAACATAACAAGACAAGTGGGAACGGAATCCATGCGAAATCGATTAGCGTGAGCTTTCAGGTACAGCGCAGGGGTTCCAGACTGAAGGACACTACAGAACACTTTACGAATGAATGACGTCATTGCCACTTATGTCAACTTTGGAATGATCCACAATACAGTTGCATCTTTTTAAAAATGGTTTTTAAAATGAAAAATTCAAGTAAAAGAATGAATTGACTTGTCTGTTTCTATAATAAAGATCTTACGCTTTTCAACAAACAATTTAGTGACTTGTCCTCTAACATAGCGTGACTCTATCAATATTTTGCATGATCAGTAATTATCACTTAATGTTTGAGCGCATTGAACCATTTATTGGCATCAAGTTGTTGCCATATCAATCGTTGATTGTTATTCCGTAATGTTATAAGCTGACTTTGAAAGAAACATTAAAAATTTTCTCGCCACCACTAACCGTTGAAAAGTTCAAAAGCGATATACACTCGACCGGTTTTTACAACTTGTCTTTAAAATTCAATTGCTTCAAAATTAAGGCGGTGGAATTAAATCTGCAACTGATGCAAGCCAATTATGAACTAACCATAACACCTTATCAAATCGACAAAGCTGTCATTGTCGTAGAGGAGCTCTCATATATAACCCGCTTAGAAATTTGACATAGGTTTGCACAATTCCTTTCATACTGGGGCTTCATAATAAACCATTAATATCAATTTAATTTCGTATAAGCATAGCTTACTTGTTTCAAATCTCTCGTCATGTTCTTGAGGCTCCTTTTCCTCCTTTTGTACGTTGTTTGCAGCTGTTGCCATCCTTGCGCGGTGAAAATTGTACAGCATGAACGTAATCGCCAGAAACATCATTAACACAAGAGCTGCAATTATGTTATTATCTAGTGAAATCTCCATCCCTACGGCGACTATCCCTTGTACCGTCTTGCACTCTAACTAGGTAAATTACTAGTGTTTCACTTGCCTCTAACTCGTCTTTTCTGGCGTTTGATCTCAAACTGTTTTGCTCTGAAACAAGGAACAAGAAGGAAGGAACTGGCAGAAAGTCAACAATGTGATCATCAATCATTCGGTGTAACCTATGACGTCAATAGACTTAGACGGTCTTCTTGAATCACGCGACAGCTACTTAGTGCAGAACGTAGACAGACAACCTAAACAATCTCAAAAATCAATAATTTACTCTTCAAATATAAATTAATTGGCTCTTTTTCGATTACAATTAGCTTTGCATCCGAGGAAGGTGTTTAGCTGTACGTACATCTTCTCGCTTAGGCATTGAAATGACAGTATTGCATCAATGATGCTAATTAAGAATTATATCAAGTGTATAATTCCCTTGGTTATTTGTCTTACTGTTTACATTAGTTAGCCAATTTTTACAATAGCAGGTCATCAGACATATCTGAGGTGATAATTATATATTTGCCCAGATCTTTATAATGGTATAAATACTAAGTATCCGGCCATTTTTCGAAGATTTGAATCTTGACCCAAAAACATTATTCTCCATTGATAGCGGATTGATCCGTTTGTGTGCACATTTATTTCTGCTTTTATTTGTAAGCAATGGAAATAAGACGCGACACATGTTTAAAGACAAAATAATGTGCACCTGTGACTCGTTATTATCGATTTCTTTTTTCCCTACCATTAGCTGTTATTTTGGGTAATCGGCCATGAAATTTATTGGAAGTACCGTAATATGTTCAGAACATCTTTACTAAAACTTTGAGGCTTTTTCAAAGTATACGGCAGACTAAGTTCCAGTAGACGCCAATGGGCAAAGCTAGAGGGGATGGGACTTATGGGTACTCATTATGTCATTGATGCTACATTGTAGCAAAAATTTGACTCCTGTTGAATTATTAAGATCACTTTCTCGGCTAGAAAAAAAAAATAATAAAATAATATTAG